CATTCTCTTAGGAAGAAGAGTGGGAGGAGAAAGAGTGACGGACGTGTTAGCTCTGTTTCGATTGAGGATATTCGGGATGTCGAGGAGCTTCAAGCTGTCGATGGCTTTCGGCAGTCTTTGATCATGGATGAGTTGCTTCCAGACGCTTTTGATGATTATCATATGATGTTAAGGTTATTTGATTAATTTTCTTTGCTACTATTTCGACTTGTGATCTTGTAATTGTGTTTACTGGATTTTGTTGTTTGTTGATATAGGTTTTTGAAAGCCAGGAAATTTGATATTGAAAAAGCTAAGCATATGTGGGCTGACATGCTACAATGGAGGAAGGAGTTTGGTGCTGACACTGTTATGCAGGTAAATGCACTTTCAATTTGGGCTTTTGTTTCGTTGTCTGCTGTTTCCTAATGTTGTATACTTTTAGGGTACATTTTGATCAATGATTTTGGAGAAGAGGGGTGAGCTTAATTTTCTTTTTCGAAAACTAATTTTGTGTGCTTGAAATGTTACGTAATCAATTATGATGGGTTTAATATCCTTTTTGGTCAGCATGTTAACCTATGAGTTCATATTGGTCCTTGACTCTTCGAAACGTACCAAGGTTAGATTTAGCAATAGATTTTGGGGTTTTTCCATCGCTAATTAGACGAAAAGGAAAGGATATTAAGCCTTTGTTACGTTATCATCTCAATTATATGTCAAAGTTGAGACACAGCCCTCTAAAACCTTCCCTTCCAAAGTCCTTGATTCGAACATACTCTAAAGTGATTGATTGATTGCTGCCCTTTGTCTAATATTTTGTTTTTTGCATCAGGATTTTGAGTTGCCCTTTGTCTAATATTTTGTTTTTTGCATCAGGATTTTGAGTTCAAAGAGTTAGATGAAGTTGTGAAATATTACCCACATGGGCATCATGGTGTAGATAGGGAGGGAAGGCCTGTGTATATTGAAAGGCTTGGAAAAGTTGATCCTAACAAACTTATGCAAGTTACAACTATGGATAGATATGTAAAGTACCACGTGCAAGAGTTTGAGAAGTCGTTTGCAATAAAGTTTCCTGCTTGCACTATAGCTGCCAAGAGGCACATTGATTCAAGCACCACAATCTTAGATGTTCAAGGAGTGGTATGTTGCCAAGAATTATTTTTCTTTGCGTTAGCCGTAAACTGAAGATTTTTAATCATTCGAATCATTTTTAATTTATGATTCAATTATCAGGGCCTTAAGAATTTTACCAAGTCAGCCCGGGATCTCGTCATGCGATTGCAGAAGGTTGACGGTGACAATTACCCTGAGGTGTGATATCTCATGTCCTGTATATTGCTTTTGCCATTATTTTTTTGATGTTACTCAGTTATTGGAAATCCCCAAGGTGATATACCATGTTCACTGTGATTACCGGTTGTTTTTGTGCTGATACAGACACTCTGCCAAATGTTCATTATAAATGCCGGCCCTGGATTTAGATTGTTGTGGAGCACTGTCAAGTCTTTTCTTGATCCCAAAACAACTTCAAAGATCCATGTATGTTGAATATTGTCTTCTAGCTATTTAAAACTCTGTTTAATTATAGTATAAATTGCTTGATGCTTGGCTGGAAATTACTTAGGTTCTTGGAAACAAGTATCAAAGCAAACTACTTGAAGTAATTGATGCCAGGTACATAATGGCTTCATGATGTTTTTATTTTCTATCGACAAATGCATTCTTTAATAAGCCTAACGCATTGTGCTCTTTATAAAGTGAGTTGCCAGAATTTCTAGGAGGTACCTGCTCATGTGCAGATGAGGGAGGCTGCCTTAGATCTGATAAAGGGCCATGGAAAAATCCTGAAATATTGAAGGTCATATTCTATTCTTGGTTGATTTTTTTGACCGATCTTTATAATGTACTTTGGCAGATGTTATGCTATACCAGTCTGACTTGTAATAAGCTGACAGTTGATTGTGTTTGCACACTTTGTAGATGGTTCTCAATGGTGAACCACGGCGGGCAAGGCAAGTAGTAAAGGTTCTCAACAGTGATGGGAAGGTTATTGCATATGCAAAGCCTCGATACCCAATGGTAACTCTTTGCATGGCTGATTCTTACCTTGATCAAAGTGGAGCCAATTTGGCGCTTCCCACATTTTTCTCAACGGTCTATTTATCATATATCACTCTTACTTATGCTACTCCCACCTAACAGGTAAAAGGAAGCGATACGTCTACTGCTGAATCAGGGTCAGAAGCTGAAGATATAGCTTCTCCAAAAGCAAGGAAGAGCTATTCGCACCTTAGACTGACCCCTGTTCGTGAGGAAGTGAGTCTTGATCTGTTATACACATTTCTATTACTTTAAATATATAATACGTAATAACTAATCTGACAAGATATTGTGGTGTCGTTTGATCTATATAGCTGACTCCATATTGTGGAAAAAGACTTTGGCTGTTGTTTGTTGCAGTCCACAATATTTAAAGATATTGTGAGATGACAAGTAATCAAAATATAACACTAAGAGACCTGTTCAGAGAATTTTTCCTGTTCTGTTTCGGTTATAATTCTCGTTCACATTGTGTTTTTATCAGTCTAAGGTGGTAGGAAAGACAAGCTTTGCAAGTAATTTGTCTGGGTATGATGAATACGTTCCAATGGTAGACAAACCCGTTGATGCTGAATGGAAGAGGCAAATATCTCTACAGAGGACTCATACCTTAAAAGGTCGGTGACTTCTAGGCATTTATTGATACACCCTTTTGATGTAACTTATTTTTCTTATTCATTTAACGTTCACCCAATTGCACAAGTAGGTTTATGATGATTGTTTCTGGACTTTGCTGCTATAATTAGGTTTAGCATTTATGGTTGTAAAGATTATTTATATTGTGCTATAGTGTTTTCGGGGTTGGTTACCCCACAATGTTAGCTAAGATTGACAACTGCGGATCCTTCATATAGCATCCAGATTTCATTTGCACTTAAATTTCCAAAGGCTTTTGATGAGAGTGTCTGTTTGAGATCTAAACCATTCCTCGACTTATATTGAAGAGTTATAGATTTTAGGAGAGTTAGTTTCTTGATGTGAATTATTTAATATGATTTTCTGAATACAGGAACACGTCCTCTTCCTGACACACAGAATACTCCAGAAGGAGTTAAAGCTCGGATTTGGGTAGCACTGACTGCCTTTTTCTTGATGGTATTTGCTCTTTTCCGTCAATTTTCTTGCCGCATGACCAACAAACTTCCTGGAATATCATCTAATGAAGATCAGAGAACTTCAGAACCAACTCTCGAGACAAGAAACATGGAAGTTCTTTCTCCATCAACCCAAGAAAATACAGAGGAAATTCTCCTTCCCTCGTTGCTAAAAAGGTTAGGTGAGCTTGAAGAGAAGGTTGATACACTCCAATCTAAGCCATCTGAAATGCCATATGAGAAGGAGGAATTGTTGAATGCTGCTGTATGCCGGGTGGATGCTTTGGAAGCAGAGTTAATTGCTACTAAAAAGGTAGGATGGGTATTTTTGTTTAACACCAAGAAAGTGCAGTCATGGGAAACCAATTTTATGATAGCCGAGTATATGTCTAAAGCATTGAGATACATCCCTTTCTCTTCTCTTTTTTCTTATTCTTTATTATTTTTAAATATAAAACAAAAAAAAAAGTCCAGCTTTAGTAAAAAAAAACCAAAAAAAAAGTCCAGCTTGTTGCTGATTGCATGTTGCTTTCAATGTAGTAGAATAAGTTACTGCTGGCTTGGAACCGAATTTTGCGTTTTTAAAAAATGTGTTGTCTAAGTTAGGCCCTAATATTTGATATTTCTGGATTATGCATAGGCTCTCTATGAAGCGTTGATGAGGCAAGAAGAGCTGCTTGCTTACATTGACCGCCAAGCAGAAGCCAAATTACGGGTAAGTTGGCATCTGTATCTTCTTAGCAAAGTTAAAATCATTAAAAAAAAAGGACAATTTTCAGATTTCTGATATGTCTGTTTCCTTCTTTTGTTGTGTTTCAATCAGAAAAAGAAGTTTTGCTGGTGAGGTATATGGCTCATAGAAAGATACTCTACAAATACACTCCAATGAGGAAGATGTTTCTCAGAGCGCGGTTGTACCAATACTTACGGAATGTTGTACCAATGATGTAACTGTATCCAATGTTTTTCAGTGTATGCTATGAGTAAACTAAACAGATAATTACTTCACATGTGTGTATATCTATAATAGCATCTTTGCTAGTTTGTTAAACACAAGCTCTTTCAGTTTTTGTCTGTAGTCATCTTTGTATCTGGTTTGTTTTCCCGCTTATATGTCCTCTGGTTTTTGTATATCTGCTTTCTGGAGAAGTAAAACTTTGCTCTATTGTTAATTCTAATGCCTAGGGTGGTACTCCTATGTTTTTAATTGTTTCTAATCCAGCAGAGCTTTTGAGCCACCTAAAAGCAAACACAGGGTTTGGTAGGTAGTATCACTTTCAAAAGCCAAATCTTTTATAGGATCTAATTTGCAGTGTTTGGTCAAAAGGAATATATTGACACTAGGCTATCTATGACATAGATGTGTTGGCATCATTATGAATTGATGTTACCAATATGATGACTGCCAAAGCAGATGTGTCGGGATAAATAATTTAACTATTATTTAGACACTGTATGATTTATTTTAACTGTATATTAAAATAAAATCAATAGCTTATATTTTTTAAAAATATTACACAATTTGTCATGTATATAGATATACTAGGAGAAATCCTCCTTTTACATTAAGTTTGAAGATTGCACATGGGCAAAGGTATTACAATTAATTATAATGAAAACCAAATGTTACTATGAATGGGCTTGAGACAATGATGTAACATATACACAATTGTCAAAATATAGCAAACTTAGAAGAATAATAATACTGTATGAAGAAGATAGGTGAATTCTGCATGCATTCAAGGGGGCTGATAATGTAGATAGTTTCCAACTTTACAACTCTTTGGTTTTTGAAGCTTGGTCACATAACAAACGAAGTTACTAGTGGAAGCAGAACTGTAATCACACACAGACCCGATAAAGTTTGTGAACAAAAGCAAGCACTCGAGGAGAGTTTATAGAAGAAAAATCTTATGAAAATGCACAACAGATATAACGTACCAACTTCTTCTTCTTTTTTTTCTTGTCAATTTGAGCTTGAAGACCATCTTGTTTAGCAAGAGCATCATCTAGTGCCTAAAAAATCAGATACATGGATTATTCAATGAATTGTTAAAATAATTGTTTATTTATAATAGTGATCTGAGAGAGTAAAGAAGTGTTATCAGAAGCGTACCTTTTTGGTTGCACCCAAGACTTGTTCAAGACTAGTGACCCTGATTAGAGCATTGTTAAGCATTTCTTCTTTTTCTGGAGGCATAACAGGTCTAGCAGAGAGAGCAGCAACTTTCTCTTCAAGTTCAGCCATGCGTTTCATTACGGCCATATAGTCATTGCTTGAAATGGCAGGTGCTTTCAACATATTGCCATCATAATACACTGAATTGCCACCATAAAGTGCTGCTTCTGTGATTTTCCTTGGCATGCTACTTGTCAAGCGAATCATGGTTATGATTCCCATAACAAGTGCCATTATTCCACCAACAAATTGACTGCTAAGTTTACCAGAATCGGTTCCATTATTGTTGGGGAAACAATCTGCCACCATAACAAACAATAGTCTATTAAAGGTCATATTTGAATTGATTTATTTGAGTTTATGTACTAAGTTGTTTATCCAAACGAGACGTGAAATGATACAATTACCTTTAGAAATTGCATATTTATCATTTTGCATTGTTTCCTTCCATGATGAATCAACTCCTTTGTCAAGGACTGGAACAAAGGAATCATACTGATAAACACCGCATTTTTTTGCAACCTGCAACACACAATATTAAAAAAAAAATGTAGCAATTGAATTAGAAACTTTGAGTTTAATTTCATAAAGTAATGAAACTCCTGTTCAAAAAGATAAGCAAACTAGGAAGGTGATTTCCTATGACTTACAGCATAGGATTTGGGTGTATCCACGGATAAACAATGAACATCATGTGTCTCTGGATATGCTTCTTTGAATCCCTTCTGGTATGCAGTTTCCTCTTGTTTGATTGTTTTCTCCTCGATTCCGGATAAGGCTTTTCTTGTGCATTTTCCAGCACCATTTTGAGCCAGCTAATTCATCCAAAATAAATAAATAAATAATCGCTATTGTTTTTCTTTGCTATATGAATGCTATTAACCATTTGTCACAAAAGAAACACATCATTTTGCAGCAAAATTACCTTCAAGATCTCTGGATCATTCCATGGACCCTTGTCTGATAGCATGCATCCACCTTTATCTGCACAAGTACAGGTGCCTCCCAAGAACTCTGGAAGTTCACTGGCATCAATGATTTCTAGCAACTTGCTCTGGTATTTGTTACCTAGCACCTGGTGAATAAATCATTAACATGTTCAATTAGTCAATTACTTGCATAACAAGTTAACTAAAAATGAACTTTTGGTATAGATTTGTAAGTAGCCTAAAATGTTTACATGGATTTTTGCGGTGGTCTTAGGATCAAGGAATGACTTAACAGTGTTCCACAAGAGCCTAAATCCAGAACCAGCATTGATGATGAACATACGATTCAACGACTGTATGAAAAAAAGAAGTTCAATTAGGGTAAATTTACAAAGTCCATTTAAACTATTATCATGCTCATGGTAGATAGGGTTGTCTTTAAGGGTGTGCAAGATGGACTATAGCACAGAACCTCAAATTTGCCACGATTAAATTGTAGCTAAACAGGACCCTTAGTTGTTTTGTCACGATTAACCGTGACTAACCAACACAGAGCTTTCAAAAACTTAAGACGGCCCTGATGGTAGAATAGATAAAAACTAGTTACCTCAGGATAGTTGTCACCGTCAATCTTCTGAAGCCTTTGGAGGAGATCCCTTGCAGCTTTGTTCATACTTTTAAGACCCTGAGTACCAAACATGCTATTATGTGAAACTTATTTCAATATGAACAAAATAGTTTTAAGAAGTAGAATTTTGTACACACCACTCCTTGCACATCCAAGATAGTTGTGCTTTGATCAATGTGCTTCTTTGCTGCAATTGAACATGCAGGCAACTTAATAGCAAAAGTCCTCTCAAACTCTCTAACATGGTACTTAAGATAACGTTCGACCGATGTTACTTGCAACAGCTTGCTACAATCAACCTGACCCAATCTTTCAATGTAAACAGGTCTTCCATCTTTATCAACTCCATGATGCCCTTGTGGATAGTATTTCAGAACTTCATCAAGCTCCTTGAATTCAAAATCCTTATAACAGAATAAACAGTTTATGGTAAGGTACATAAATGGAAGATGTTATGTAAAAGTACATGATTTCTTTTTCACTTGAATATACCTCCATGATTGTGTCAGCACCAAACTCCTTTTTCCACTTAAGCATATCTGACCACATTTGTTTTGTTTTCTCTATGTCATACTTTCTTGCCCTCAAAAATCTAGACCATGTTGCATTAACATTATAGGTTCATTAGAGCATTGAAACAAACCAAGGCATTAAATAAATCTACTCATGCTATAATCATAAATATATAACGCGTGCCTTTGACTTTGCAGTGACAAAAGTCGTTGCTTTTGAACGTGTATAAATCTCAACAAAATCAAAATTGATTTTGTTACGGTAGAAGCTAGATAGATTGGAATCAACTCTAAAGTCCGAATCCAAACATAGCAATATCCATTTGAATCAAGTATGACTAATTCAAACGTGATTCTAGGCTAAGGAGCTATGACATAGGCAATAGACATGACACAAATATGACACATCAAAATTGATATTAATTTGAAAAAATAAACATAATCACATGTCACATGTCACAAAAGAGGACACTAACACGTGTCAGATACCAGACCCACATTTGTTTAAAGGTGTCGGTGCTACAGAGATTCTAGGAGGCACAAATGCGGAACCGAATAACCATATGCTAATTTGAATGTGATAATGATTACCTTAGCATCATATGAGGATCATCATGCTTTGAAGGTAAGAGCTCTTCCAAGATGAGTGTTTGGCGAAAAGCGTCAACAATGGTTAACTCTTCTGCATCAAGATTATCTTCAATAGAGATAGACATAACCCTGCTATGCTTCCTTCCCTTCTTGGAGAAGGATTTCTTGAACTTATTTGAGGCACTCAATGCCACCTTCTTAATAGACCCAACCCTTTTCTTCTTTTCATCCTCAGAAGACTCCATTTCATAACCTATCAAGAAAATCCTCAAACTCATCATCCATATTCCAATGATTTTACAAAATACGAAACCGACAAATTCAATCAAACAAACTCACCGAGTTTAATAGGCCGGTCAACAGGCGCAGACATTAGGTCACACATGATTGAATGAATGAATATTCCAAGATAACTCGAATGATCAAGAATCAAGCACTAGCATACATATTGAGGATTCATGTGCACCTATTAATTATATATATACCTTTCAACCATTATCATCAACAACAAAAACAACAACATGCATGTTAGAAAAACTTAAAAAAAACAATGAAGATGAATGAAAAGAGAATGTTAAGAGAAGAGATAGAGATAGGTAGGTACCTTTGACAAACAAGAATGTAGCTAGGTAGGGGTTTGAAAAGGAAGAAGAAAATACAAATATATCAACAGAAAAATCGGGTATTGAAAGAGTCTTGTTAGGTTTGATTTGGTGTTTGCGAAATGCATGCCACTCCTTTCATTCATAATCTTATTTCCCACGTAACCTTTACCAACTCATGAAATATAAATATTTGTCACAAGTTTATTTTAACAAGGTAAATGTTAGAGAAAAACAAGTTATGTATATAAAAATAGTATAAGTTTAAGTATTGTGTGATTAATTGATCTCTTCAAATTTACTGCCAACAAAGTCAGCTGTTATAGGGTGCTCCACCACTATGTATGGACTAACCACATAGAAAATGGTAAATGATTCAAAAATGGATTTAATCGTTTCTCTTATTAAAATTCTCAATTGTTATTAGTTTAATCAATTTTTACAATAATTGCACAACCACACATATTATGTCATATGCTATCTAATATCAAGCATGATTTCTTTAGTTTTGATAAGATAATTGTAATATCGGTGGATCGATAATTTTCAATTGCCACCTGTGAGCTTTTGTTGGCAAAATTTTACCATCCTTGCATTTTAACAACAAAAAATGGTGTTGTTATAAGGGATAGTTTTTCATTTCAACAAAGAAATATAGGTGATTATACTTGATATTACTTTTATTCCATTTATGTTATTTTATTTTTTATTTAATTTTCACTTTTTAATTTTGTGTAGAGTGCGTTTGAGAGATTAAATTATGATATGGGAATAGTAAAGCAAGGTGTCAACATGTTCGGTCAAATGCAAGTCAAGTTGAATGCAATAATGAAACAACTTGCAAACAACCAACAACAACATGGACATTTGTAATTACTCTGACGGTGGTCATGAGAATGACCTGTGCAATTCTAAAAGTTTTTTAGAGAAAATAACCTTGTTCTAAATACTTTCACTCTAACATTTGTAAGCAAGCAACAAAGTCATCAACAACAGGAACCTAAGGAAATTCTTCATTCTGGAGAAAATTTTGGTCTAATTTGTAAACTTTTTGTTAAATTGTAATTCATAATGTCGAAAAGATTAAATTTATTTTAGATTTAAATAGATTTGATTTAGATCTAAAATAGAATTGATTTGATTTAGATCTAAAATAGAATAGATTTGATTTAGTATCAAAATATATATTTTGGACTTTTATAGTTTTGGGCTTAGGGTGCAAGCTAAATTTATAAATAGAGGGAATAACTCATATTTTTGTAATCAAGTCAATTAAGTTGTATTCACAGAATTTGCAGTTGCAAGTGAATAACAAAGTTTTTCACAGTTTGTGGACAGAGAGAAACTCTGCAGAAAATAATTGTCTTTTTTTTTTTTTTTCGTTCTCATAATTCATTGTCATTGAGGAGAAGTTCATCATAGATATTTGGTGGATTTCCAACATCTGATATCAAGGGCTTTGTTAATCGATTCAAGGGAAATATCAATCAAGAACGATTGAAGAATTCACGATGGTGAATTATGGGAATGGAAATTGTGATACGGTGGGAGAACTGACTTGAGTTTTGCGTTTGTTTTTGCAAATGTTTCGGTTGAGCAAGAGTCGCCACCGACTTTTTATTTTATCCTAAGGAAAGGTTAAAAAGCACAGCAAAAACCTTTGAGATGTTTTCTTGGGTTCGGAGAATAGATTATAGAAAGGGAAGGTATTAGCACCCTTTCTATCCATGGTTATCCACGGGCTCTTAGTTACTTGCTTAGATCAACTTGCCTTGATTTTCAATTGTTTGAAATGGTGCTTTGTGTGTGTTTTGAAAATGTTTTGAAAAGAGACCAATGTGGTGGCAACCTTTGTATGATCCATGTTGGGATGTATACAAAGGTGTATGTCTTTTGAAAAGTTTTCCATGTTTTTGAAAGTTGTTTTGAAAGTGTATTGTGAAGTGTGGTTTTTTGAAAAAATAGGCAAGTGTTTTTGTTTTGCAAGTTGGCAAGTAACCAAGAGCTATCTACCCTAAATTTCTCAAAGATCTTTGCTATGTTTTAACCCTTTTAACAATTTTGTTCCACCATTGTATTTGGTGGACAATCTTGTGTTAGGAGGTGAACGGGACGGGCGCGGGTCATCGTTTAGACCATGATTGTAATGGTGCCAAGTATCTTTGGGCAATTTTTCCTTTAAGGGACTTGATCATTTTTTAGGCAACTTTTGAAAGCGTCATCGAGGGACTATGATCATTTGAATTGTTTTGTTTTTGCCAAAGATACCTAACATGCAATATGACCCTTTATTGAAGGCAACAAGTGGAGTACCCTAGGGGTGCAAGTGTGATTAGTGTTGTCCATTTTCATGCTTGTTTATCTTGAATTTAGGTCAAACTATTTGTTGTTTTTGATTTGCATACAAAACCCTAATTCTAACATGGCATATTTAGAAAGCTTTTAAATGCGGAATTTAAAGGTCCTAAATTATTACAACACAAATTATGGGATGGGGGGTACAAATGTTCAAATGGGGATATTTTAGCAAGAAATTTAAATCTAACTATTACATCCAAATTGAATTATACAAATTAATTAATTGCACAATAATTAAATAAAATGAGATAAATATGCAAGATGCAAAAAAAAAAAAAAAGATTTTTATATGTATGTAAAAAGGTATTTTTCATGTGACAAATAAACAAAAATAAAAAGGTTTAATTTTTGGATTTTTTAGGTTTAGGGTAAAACCCTAATTTTTGCTAAATAAAATGTATTAATTATTTAATGTATGCAATATTTATTAATTATGTGCAAAAAAATAAATAAAAAGAAAGTATATTGTCAAAAAGTGATTTTTTTAAAGTTAAATATTAATAAAAAAATAAAAATGTATTATTTTTATATTTTTAACCTAAATAGACTAATAAATATATAAGTATTTATATTTATATTAAATATATTAAATATGTACAAAAATAAAATATTTAATATTTACAAAAAAAAGGTATATTTTTTATAAAATGTTTTCAAAGGTAAAATGAAATAAAAATCAAAAAATAATAGTGTTTGTATTATTTTTTTGTATTTTTAAAGAAAATGTATTATGTATTTATTTACATATGACCTAAATGAAACAAAATAAATATCAAATAAAATGTAAAAAATGTGAGAAAAATATTTTTAATATTTTTTATACTTTGACAAAAATAAATAAGTCAGAAACAAAAATCAAAAGTCAAAAATAATAAAAATAAAATGCAATGGGCCAAGGGGGTGCATGTGTGAGAATGTGGTGCAAAAATGAAAAATATCACAGGCCCAGCCCATAGAGGTTGTCTTCAACCTCCAGCAACAAAAATGTCAAAAACGCGCGCCTTTCCCACCTTGTTAAAACATCCTGATTCCTGGACTTTTAGCACAAACTTATAACATGAAAAATGTCAAGCATTAAGCCACGATTCCATACATACCAAGAACTTGATCTAACTCTCAGAAATGAGAGAGAATTTCTCCATCCCTAATTCTTAACCTAAGTTTTTTCTAATGTTCAGGTTCCAAATTCTCTCAGCACATGCAATATAAATGGAAAGTAAATATATGTGTATCTTCAGGGCCATGAGTAGAGCATTTTTCATTCATAAACCTAAAGCTAACTCTTCCTAGATTGAGAGATAGAAGTCCATGAACTTACCTGTTCAGCTTGGATCGTGTCTGACAATGGAGGCACTCTCAAGGCAATGTGAGGACTTGTACAACTTGCTTGAAGTTCAGAGATGCTTCTCCCACCTTTAGCTTGCTTTGAAACCAAATGAATCAAGCTATGGAAGTCAACCTGCAAAACAGAAAAAGTGAAAATGGTGAAGTTGGTTAGAGGTGTTACAGGTCGTGTCCAATGCTTGGGATAGTTTGTATAGGTGGTATGGAGTGTGTATGAACTGGTTTTGGCCAAGGCGCACGAATGGATTGAGTTATGGAAGTCCAACTGCAGAGGTGACTCTGTTTTTTGCAGTAGGAGGGTGTTTTGATGAATGATGAGGTTTGGAAGGTGGTTAGCTCGTGCCTTAGCTTAGGTTTGATGTTTGGAATCTGTTTAACAAGTTTACTTTGGCTTGTCTTGGCAGAAATGTGTGATTGTGTTGGTTATACAAGGTTTCTTCTTACTTAAGCAAAAAATGACAAGTTGGTTTACAAACTTTCCTAGGCCCCTCAAGTATGCTGCCTCAATCCCTCTTGATCAGTGTGTTATGTCCCTGAACTTGTGCCAAAAAGATTTGCATTGTACTTCTTGATTTGCAAACTTGACATAAAGCCATACTTTTCAAAAATAGATAAAGTGCTTTTTCTAATTAAGGCTTAATTCTTCATACAATGACCAAATGCACAAAATAATGCCTTGGCACAATGGATTGGAATTTAATTATTGAGTAAGAAAAGGATTAGAGGCCTGTAACTAGCTTGCTCATGCTGATTTGAAAAATTGCACAAGTTATGAACAGGGAAATGGCTCATGAACAAAGTGACTTTTGCCCATATTGCCAAATTCGATTCTCCCTAACCACAAGGGTGTTTGATGAGTTCTTGGACATTTTGGAAAGCTTGGAATGTGTACTACAATCCATCTTTGTAATGCAAGTTGAAATTACAAGTGGAAGCATGTGAAAAGTGGCCATGAAGTTAGGCAAAAATCCTGCCTAGAATAGGTCAAAAATTTTCTAAGTTAAGAATGTTTTGCACCCTTGTTCCAAAAATCATAACTTGAGCTACAAGCTTCTTTTGAGGAAACTTTGTGAATAAAAGT